CAAGTATTTTTAAAACCCTAAATTAGCAGTTATTTTCATCAAAAGCATTTATAAAAGGAGGTAATTTTAGTGCTATGAAATACCAGGAGGATAAATAATCACAAGTTCCAATTTGTTTTTCAAGTTTGTGAATCAATTGTTTTTCTTTATTTTTTAGTGTTAATTTAGTTTGCAACATCATCTTCACTTAATTATGTTTTGGCTTAACTTGGTTGAACTCACTTAATCTTTTGTTTAATCATTGTTTTTAAACAAATTCTCAAGGAAATAATACTTTACTTTCATTATATTACTTGCTTCAGCCCATACACTTACGGTGAGCAACACTTCTCAATTACTTCCTAACTTGGTGGTCCTTTGACTTGACTCTCTTTCTTAAAAGAGCAAGACTAGTCATAATTTTCTATTTTAAATCTAGTCAAAAATTAAGATTAATTATATTATTTTCTAAGTTTTGTAATCTCATAATTTTATGATCACATCTCCTAAATTATATGGCCAGGTATTTTTCTCCTTTATTTTATATTATTTTCTTTCCCTTTTAATAATAGGAAATTAGGGTTTTTAATAATAGGAAATAATCTTTCTTATGAGCCTATATATACTAGGCATGCTCCCTTTTGTAAAAAGAAGAAAAGTTAAATGAAACTATTCATTTAAAAGTTCATAAATCTTGTAAGCCTTAGTGTTTTGTGGTGACATCCCGTATAAAAAACAGACGTGATCAAGCTTGATCAACTCTTGTGGTGTCTTTGAAGGTTAGAGGCAGGTGCTCTAGAAAATTTTTTCCTTGATCATTATCCCTTTGTTAGAAGGAATAATAATTATGACTAGAATAAGAAGGTTTGGAAGATGATATGGAAGGTTAAAGCTCTTCCAAAAATAAATCATTTCCTATGGAGATGTTTTGTTAGAGCAGTGCTTGTTATAGAATCCTTGAAAGGAAAGGATTGTTGTAATTTTGATGTGTCCTGTATGTCTTGAGGAGGTAGAAACTTGGGGGGATGCTCTTTTCCTTTGTCCTTGGGCAAGAAATGTCTGGTTTTGAAGTAAACTTTCTTCTTATGTGTTATAGTTTTGTCATTAGTAGTTAGTTATTTTAGATTTAAATGATAGTTATTGGGATTTAGCTGTTGGGAAGTGTGAGTGTGAAACCTATAAATAATGAGACATTTAACCTGTAATCCTATCTTTAATGATTAGAAGTGTATTATGCAGAATCTTTGTGTTTCTCAATTCCTCTGAACCTTTCCTTCTCTCTAATCTTGTCAATTCTTCTATCTCTTCTTATCTTTCCTGTCTCTTCTCCCAACCTTCCTGTTCTTCTCTCTAATCTCTCCTATCTCTCTTTATTTTCTTTATCATCCAAAATTATTCTGATACAATAAAGGTATCAAAGCAGCACTCCTCGGCCACTTCTCTTTTCATATTCATCTCAACAATACATGGTTTAGACTAAAAATTAGATCAAGAAAGCAATGGAAGAACGTGTGGGTCGACTAGAAGAAAACTTTAATAAAGGAAATATCTTGACTGAATTTGTTGAAGGTATCTCAAACCAGCTACAGATGCTTGTGCACAATTGTCAGTGTGGTTTAGATAACAATGGGGACAAACGCAATGGTCACCATAGGTATCACAACCAAGAATTAGAGGACCAATATTGCCGCAACGACCAAGAATGGAATGGGTATTGCCAACCAACCTAATTCACCAAAATGGATTTTCCAAAGTTTACTCAAGAGGATGTTGAAGGCTGGATACTGAAATGCATGTGCTATTTTGAACTCAATGAAACCCTCGAAGAGTCAAAGGTCAAGATTACAAGCATGCATCTTGACCCAAAAGCATTCCAGTAGCACGTTGCATATGAAAAAAATGGGCAGGAGTGTGTCCATTTGGGAAGAATACATCAATGAGCTTAAGGATCGCTTTGGCCTTATACACAAGACACCAATAAGTGATTTGGTGCGCCTCAAGCATCAAGGAACACTGGCTGATTACAACAATAAATTTGACACTATTTCTTATATACTTAGTTTATCTAAGAAATACTTGGTTGATGTTTATCTCAATAGGCTATTAGAAGAAATTGCAAGACCTGTCAAATTGTTTAAATAAAGAACTATGAGGGAGGAACGAAGCCTAGCAAGGATGCAAGAAATTACATTAAAAAGAAAGGCTGAGAAGAAAAGTCAACACAAGAATAGTGGACACGTGGCACCTATAGCTTCTTCCACATAGCCATTTTATCATACCACTTGGACCCTTACAAAAATGCTTTAATTGATGGTGGGACCTAAGGGAAAGCTAAGTCAACATCCTTATATTTAAAAACTTTTTCTTTTAACCAAAAAAGTGTGTATAAATCGCCTAAAATTCTCTTTGCAAAGGAAGTTGCAGAACACTGGAGCAAAAACTTGTGTTTTTTACTACCATGAAATATTCTCCAAATACCACAAATGCCCTCAATGTTAGAAGTTACAACTCCACTTCCTTGAAACTCAAGACACCCAAGGAGAAGATGCTCTTTCTACTGCTGAAGAAAAGGAAGAAGATAACAGACCTAGTATTTCCCTTCATACTATTGAAGGAGTTGATGAAGCTTCTACTATGCGAGTCATTAGGTACTATGGCAAGAGATAGCTTCAGATACTCATTAATAATGGCAATACACATGATTTCCTAGATCATAAAGTAACCAAAAAGCTGGGTGGAAGTAGTAGGGGGAAGAAAGCTACGAGTTTATGGCATTTGGAAAAATTTCAAATGGAGGATGCAAGGCTTAGAATTTACTTTTGATTTCTATATCCTTGAATTGTACACTTATGATTTAGGATTAGGGTTTAAATGCCTCAAAAGCATTAAAAATGCATTTTGGGATTATGAGTCATTAACTATATTCTTTTGCCTAGAAGGAAAATTGTGCAAGCTTCAAGCTACCCCCCCTAACACTCCATGAATGGTACAACCCAAGAAGCTGGAAATCAAGGAATTGCATGATGGTCAAGATTTTTTGCTCTAATTAGTGGCCAAGGGACAAGAGAAGATAGAATGCCTTTCTATCCAAATCTGTTCAAAGATCCCAAAGGGAATTTCTAGAACTTTACAAGAATTTTATAACTTGTTTAAGGCACTAAAGGGGCGACACCATCACGGGAAGGCCATGATCACTTTGTAGTTCTTAAAAAAGGGACTAATCCCATTAATCTCAAGCCATACAGATATCCCTCAGCTCAAAGGGATATTATTGAAGGATTAGTGGGGGAATTGTTGCTTAATAGGGTGATTCAAGAAAGTCCAAGCCCATTTTCAACTCCTATTGTGTTAGTCAAAAAGAAAGATGGCACTTGGAGGATCTACATAGATTATAAGGAATCAAACAAGAACACTGTAAAGAATCAATATCCAATTCCCTTATTAGAAGACCTCTTTGATGAGTTAAGTGCTGCGAAATAGTTTACAAAATTAGACTTAAGGGCTGGATATCATCAAATCAGGATGGTTCCTCAAGATGTTCCAAAGGCTATTTTTAAAACACATAGTGAGCATTATGAATGGTTAGTTATGGCATTTGGCCTACCTAATGCCCCGACAACTTTTCAAGGGGTTATGATCAGTATATTTCACCTTATTTGAGGAGGTTTGTGCTAGTTTTTTTTAATGATATATTAATTTATAGTTCTAACCTTGATGATCACGTACAACACCTTAAGGAAGTATTCTTTATTTTGAGATAGCACCATTATTTTATTAAAAAAAAAGCAAATGCTCTTTTACGGTAGCTGAAGTTGAGTATTTAGGTCATCTAATTAGTGTTGGACAAGTTAGGACAAATCCAAAGAAGATTCAAGCTGTTGCTAAATGGCTTGAACTAACTACTGTGAAATAACTCAAGGCATTGTTAGGTTTGGCAGGATACTACAGAAAATTTGTCAAGGGTTATGGAGTCTTAACAAAGCCATTGACTTCTCTTCTAAAGAAAGATAACTTCAAGTGGTCAGATTTTGCATCAGAGTCATTCAATAACCTCAAAAAGGTCTTGGCATCAACACCTGTTCTTACCCTTCTTGATTTTAATAAAGAATTTATGGTAGAGACAGATGCATGTAGATCAAGAGTAAGGGCTAGTCTGATGCAGGAAAAGTAGCCACTTGCTTATTTTAGTAAGGGGTTGGCTGATAGACATCAAAAGATTTTCATGCCTTACAGATGCTTGAAAACATGGTGTAAGATCTCCCTTAATAATCCACGTTTAACTCCAAAACATAGCAATCAAGGGATTAACTCTTAAAGGATTATCAAATTGTAAAATTTCATAAAAAGAGAATTTCTCAAATCCTTTTTAGAAAGAATCCCAAATTCAACATTTCAATTTTTAAACAATGCTCTTAAAGTGTTCAAATCAGAGTTTGAAAGTAATGCGAAAGCTTGAAAATTAATTGGGACCCAAATTCGTGAATTTTAAAACTCAAAACTAATATTTGTGCAAAAAACGACACGTGCACCGCGGCTCGCAACATGTATGCCGCGGCTTATCTTTTCTGTGCCGTGCGCCGCGACGTGAGACGCCATGCACCACGGCGCATTGCACGAATTTGACCGCATCAATGCTATCATTTGACCGCACAAGGAGCAAACTTCCGACATATCCCAAATCTCCATCCGACGCCCGATTGAGGTGGTTTCAGTATCTACACAATGCTTTCTCCTAACTCTAGCTAATAGTACAGGTTTCACAATCAAACTTATTTTATATAAAAAGTTAGACACCAAAACCCATTTTGATCACTTTTTCACAAAATTTCACAAATGGAGTGTCCCTACTCAACCACACATACCAATAGCCTACACCAACCATACGACTATACCCAATGGACTCATGCAGACCCGTGCAATGCACCACACACAATCAAAAACACTTATATTGCAAAATAACCACTCAACCCCTATTTTCACAAAATACCAAGGGGGAGGAAAACATTGCACAAAACCGCCAATTTCATTCTAAATCTTTCAAAATACATATATTTTTACTTGCACAAGTATTTTGGCCCTATCCACGGGTTTATAACTAAAACTCACTAACCCATAGCACAAAATACACCATTTGCACAAAATAATGCAAGTACTATAAAAACATTAGTATGTGATCCTAATTGGCAATTATATTACCAAATACACATGGAACAACTAAAAAGAGGCATATAGAGGATTACTTCACAATCTTAGGCCTCTGTATGTTTTTCCTGACTCGGATTCGATGAGCAAGGTCCTACAAATATTAAGAATTGAGGGGTGAGTACAACCATTTAGTAACCAAGTTTTACCTAACCTATATAGTTGTATATCAATTGTAAATAGATTTAATTAGGCAAATACACAAATACCACATATAAACATTTGGCCATAGTTCACAAAACTAGCAACCATGTGATCGGGCCCACAACACACAATATCATAATATTTCACAAGGCACAACACGGGGTTGTAATAATAACAACCATGCACCCCTAACATATGTCAGACCATAAAACTAACAACCATATAGCCAGTCTTATATGCATGATCATATGCCACCCTTATACCCTCTTGTTACCTCTAACACAAAACCGGTAGCTATCACGCAGCTACGTCCTTCACGGATTAACCCAACCTTCCACTTATGAGGAGCTACCAGGCCAGGGTTAACTCACTCATTTATGTAATCTAGTTTCCCCCAATGCTAACAACTATGGGGTGTTGTACCTCTAATCTAGCCTCTTCATGAACCGGTGGAGACTAGCTAGGTTCGAGTTCCTTGTAAAATAAGTGGGACAGTCCTGAATCAACCATGGGACAAGGGCTACCTCCCGATTCCAACGGTTAGTGCGAAGGCCAATTTTCGATTCCAATGGTCACTGCCAATACCACGTGGATCTAAATCAATCTACTCCTCCTTAGGAAAACTCCCACCAATGATCATGCTCTGCACATTTTTCACATTGTATATATTTCAAGGATTCATTCATGACAAATATTCCAACATACTCACTGATATACTCCACATCATCAACACATTACACCACACAATTATTTGCTTTCACATCAACATGCCACAACTAAATTTATAAATCACAAGTAGGTGGCATAATCAAGGTTTTTTTTTAAACCATTTCGCAAGTCAAACACATTACCAATATGCATCATAAATTTAAATCATAAATTACATTTTACAAACACAATTAATATTCAACTATAAAGATTAAATTTCCTCCAGTTGCCTGAACCTTTGAGAAATCAAAGGTTTACCGCTCACAATAACAACTTCCAAAGCTTCAACAAGCTCAAATGGTGCCAAATGATTCACGCTACAATCATAAGCAAGAATATTATCACAATCCCACTCTTAGGGAATTATCAACATTGATTCCACTTTTTCTCTATTCTATCCATCCCATAAATCTCTACCCATTCATATCCAATGGATTCATTAGATTTCATTAGTACACATTATCATTAATAACACTTCAAACCGTTATTAATGGACATAAACCTCTCTTAACTACCACATTTATGTGGATTTTCGGGTATTAATGGCTCTACCCAACAAACGCTTAATAAAACCATCAATGTAGGGTTTATCTATTACAAACCACTCCCATTACACTCATTTTAACTAATGAAATTAGACCCATACCCCTGTGAACCGAATTTCAACCTTTCAACTCAAACCCAACCATAAATCATCGTAAATGAGGGAGAGAGGAAGAATAAGGCTTAGATTACTTACCTTGGGTATTTGAAAGTTTCAATCTATCACCAATATGCTCCAATAATAAGCCCTAGTAGAGCCAAAGTCGAGCTCCTTTATTTTTCTCTTCCTCTTTCTGTTTTTCTCGCGCTAATATGAATCTGATATATCATATTTTTGGCCGTGCGTTGCGGAGCACATTGCCGTCTGCCATAGCGCGTGCCACAAAGGAGGCCATTGCATTCAAATCTGCCTCTGCACCGCGGCAGACTGACCACGCATCGTGACTTGTGGCACCAAAAATAAATCTTCACTTTTTCTTCCTCTTTCCTCATCCGAGTGGCCCACCATAGATCCGTATCCACTTCTAGGGCTAAAATTGCCACAATAATTGCACCAATTGAACCCCTCTGGCCGCACACCTTATTAATTCACTTATCACCCTCATTAGGTTAATAAATCAAGATTAAATTTTCCCAAATGTTACACATAGCGGCTAGTTGTTGATTTCCTATTAGAAATAAGCAGTAAGAGTCACCTTCCAAACATGCCTCTTCCCACCATATCTCTATTAAAAAAGAAGGGATGCAACAGCTAAGTCACGCATTATTTATAGTGATTGATTATAAAGTTGATAAAGAAACATTGGTCAACATGAAGAGCAATGACTTGGGGTTGAATCTCTCAAAAGCATGAAGACGAGGGATACTAATAGCTTTTTTTTATTATACAACAGTTTACAATCACAGAAAACTAAAAATGAAATTACTATCTTGATCATAAAATGTTCAACTTTCATTCCACAATAATGTAAATGTCTTAATGATATCTTTA